ATAGTAGTAAATTTTAAGAGGATTTTTTCTGTATATGTGCTATTCTTATAAAAGTTATCAAACGTTACCATAAGTTACCACGAAAGTACCCTAAACATGTTAGTGTATTTTAAACCAATTTTTTTACATATTGTTTTGCGGCTTTATCCATTTTTGAAAATATTTTGATAAAATACGTTATATTCTATCAAAAAACAAAAAAAAACCCCATTTTTGGCAAAGCGTTAAAACGCTATCCCAAAAATTCAAATTTCAGCAAATTTTACAAATCGTGTCATATCTTTTTTTTAATAAGTCCAAAATAAAAAATTCTTTTTGCTTTCGATTAGTAACAACATTTTTAAGATTTTTGTGACAAAAAACATCAAAATCAAAAAATTTTATTTTTTTGACATTTTTTGACCAAAAAATAAAATTCAAGATTTTGATGTCTTTTTTTCACGAAAGCCTTAAAAATGTTGTTACTAATCGAAAGCAAAAAGAATTTTTTATTTTGGACTTATTAAAAAAAAGATATGACACGATTTGTAAAATTTGCTGAAATTTGAATTTTTGGGATAGCGTTTTAACGCTTTGCCAAAAATGGGGTTTTTTTTTGTTTTTTGATAGAATATAACGTATTTTATCAAAATATTTTCAAAAATGGATAAAGCCGCAAAACAATATGTAAAAAAATTGGTTTAAAATACACTAACATGTTTAGGGTACTTTCGTGGTAACTTATGGTAACGTTTGATAACTTTTATAAGAATAGCACATATACAGAAAAAATCCTCTTAAAATTTACTACTATATACCTTTTTCCATTTTTGAATTGAGCTATCCTATAAAAAAATACGAATAAATTAAAAAATCCGCAATTCCTTTTGCATCAACCTAATACATTTTGCCGACCGTTCTCGGGATACGGCCTATTTTTGATGTTTGATTTGTATTTTATGCTCTATTCACTCAACCAAACCTTTGGGGTCGGAAGTGAAAAAGATACAGTTTGCTTGTTTGCAGTCTAAGTTTATCGAGAGGATAATGGGGATTTGTACGTTGGAATTTGAGGCTTTTGTTGTGGGATTTATTGAAACTTGCATTTACAAAGTGCATCAATCATATATTTTGAAAAAACTTGGCAAAAATTGAACGTTGAATATCTCGGCCGCGTACTCAAAACGTGAGCTTAACATTGATATGTGACTTAACATAAGCAATATATTGGTGCTGAATTTAAAGATAACCTGAGCGTCCCATTTCGAACACATTGGCCTAAAATTGGCTTTAGGGAGTTCTGAAAACGCTTTCAATAGACGGGCCGCGTTATACAGAACTTGAGCATGGAAAGGTGTTTCGGTGGTTGCAAACTAAAACTCTCTCTGCTCTGTAATAGAGTGCAAGTTCAAATGTTCCTTTCGTTCATTGAATCTTTGATGTCTATTATTGTGTAATTGTATAATTGAACGCTTCATTGAACGTTTTTCACTCTCAACCGCAGACTCCAAACATTAATGTACTTAGGTTTTCACATATCACTTACAAGGGAATGGACTTTATGTGTAAATCGATTTTGGCTTGGGACCTAGTCAGATCGAAAGGTGTGTGGTAGTCGATTATTCACTTGGGGGGAAATCTCTGCGCGGGGCTTCAAAGCCGAGAAAATCGGCTTCAAAGTTTGGACGAAAATCAAAGGATAGGGATCCCAGAAAAGGAGCAATAAAAAGTGTGAAGCAGTGGCCGAGTGGTCAGGCGCTCGCTTTTTGCGCAAAAGGTTGCAGGTTCGAATCGGCTTCCATTCTTAACTTTTTTAGACAAAAACTTCTATTAATTTTTTCCCCCTGAACTCGATTATCGATGCAAGAAGTATATTTTAAACGGAACTTTTCCATTTTCAACGGCTTTGCACCTTCCCTTTACAGTTTTAAAGCGCAGGGCACACCATCAACCTGATGTATTCAAAAACAACTTTCCATTAAGTCAACTTTTTTTTTTTTAAATGTACAGCCGGATTAGCACGAAGAAAGCAAAAGTAAAAACGATAAATGATTATTTGAGCTTGGAAAGATTCGAACCTGCAACCTTTTGCGCAAAAAGCGAGCGCACTGACCACTCGGCCACTGCTTCACACTTTTTATTGCTCCTTTTCTGGGATCCCTATCCTTTGATTTTCGTTCAAACTTTGAAGCCGATTTTCTCGGCTTTGAAGCCCCGCGCAGAGATTTCCCCCCAAGTGAATAACCGACTACCACACACCTTTCGATCTGACTAGGTCCCAAGCCAAAATCGATTTACACATAAAGTCCATTCCCTTGTTAGGTTTTGAAGTGCCGAACAAAGTCTTATTTTTCAAGACATCTCTGTAGTTTGGTATCTTTTGTACAAGCCCACCATAATTTGTGACGATAATTTTTTATCACAGAGAACAGAATGATATCAACTTTGTAGCCTAAAATCAGTTTTTTGCAAGTGACGTTTTTAAAGTGCAACTTTTAGATTTTCGTCAAACTTTGCACACATCTCAGGCATAGGCCAGATATTAAGTCCTGAAAATTTTAACTCGCGTTTTGCACGGGCAGCCGAGATATTCAACGATCTTTGCAGCCTAGAGAGTAGGTAAAATGCGGAGAGCGGTCAGAGAAAAGCGCTTTTTGGCCATATCCTCACCAGTTTCGGGCGGAAAAAAAGTGGCTTTCTGCGGAAGCGTTACACTCTACTGTAGAACCAGGAGGAAATTTCTTATTCCAAAATTCGAAAAAAGTGCAAAATTTTCGCCGGGAAAAATACACTTTTTGGCTGTATGCTTGCCTATTTCGGGCAGAAAAAGCCGGTGTTTGTAGAAACACAGCTCTCTACGAGATTGAGCAGGGTCATTCAACGATATTTGTTAACGATATATAGTCAGAGGCGTAGCAAGATACGGTAAAAATCATTTTTACCGTATCTTTGCTGGCTTCGCGCAGAAAAAACATTTTTTGTCTTTAATGACACAAAAAATTCTGGTTTTTGGTATCCAACGGAATTTTTGATGTCCTAATTGTTCCCTAATTCCACTCTCGCATTCCCTGCCCGGATTTCAATTTGTCACGGATTAAAATTATCGATTCCGTAGGGGATACTTTCCACTTTTTTTTTGCCTCCATTACACAGACTATGGCGAAGGATTATAGACATTAAAATGGCAGTTTTTTATTGTGGATTTAGTCGGGTTTTTATTAGTATTGTTGTAGAAAACTTTGGCTTTTTTACAGTAAGATTTCCGTCGCATTGACTTGTCAGCTTCTCTGAAATTGTGCGAAAACACTCGAACAAGACAAGTGCCCCAAGTATGACGCTCATTGCCAGATTTTCTTTAAATTGTGCACGTTCGCCGGCCAAAAACCTCATATCAATTAGTGAAATTTTTAACTTGCGCTTTACGGGCTCAGCCGAGATTATAACACGCTTTGCGGCCGAGAGAGTACGCAAAACGCGGAGATCGGTTAGAGAAAGGACCAGTTTTTGGCAATAGCAGTCTGTCGGGGAAATAATGAGCACAATGTCGCTATATACAACGGTTTTTGCGGCCGAGAGTATGTGAAACTCGAAGATCAGTCAGAGAAAAAAAGACTTTTTGGCTATATCTTTGTGAGTTTTTTGCGGGAAAAGTTGATTTTTTGTGGAAATATTATCCTTTACGGTAGAAATAAGCATGAAACTTTTCATCATAGCATTCGAAAAAGCATCATTTTAAAAAAAATTTCATCACAAAATCTCGGGAGTATCAATGCGCAATTCCTAGCATTTTTTGGCCACATCTTTGCCAGTTTCGAGCGGAAAATTTTGATTTTTTGTGGAAGCCTTATGCTCTACGGTAGGAATAAGCTTGCAACTTTTCATCCCGAAAATCATTAAAAAGCGTCGAATTTTTCCCAACTTTACGCCTAAAATCTCATCAAAAATTTGATCAATATTCTTTCATTTTTTCCCAATTTTTAAACCATTGATCTCACTGCTCTCTCACACTTTACCATCTTCCTCTTTGAAGACAACTTTTTCCGATACTGTAGTTTTGGAGCCCAACTTGTGGACCCTTTATTTTCCCGTCCCGAGAATAGCCAATCGCGATGGAGAAGCGGGTCGTTTCATTCCGAAAATATATCATCAAACAGCGGATTAGCCGGACTTGTGAAACACAGCGAGCATGCGTGGCTGCATAGTTTTGCTTCATCCGAGGCATTGACGGGGTGTTTAAGAATGGATTTTGATAAAGGCTTTGCTTCGGAAGACCTTTGTATACTCACGAAAATGTGTCTTATTGAAACTTTTGGATACAAAAAACGCGTTTTTTAAAAAATTTCTTGGCATTCCGTTTCAAGTCGTCGGTGATAGCGGTATTCCAAATCTGATATTTATTATAATACAGGGTGCGGCAATTTTTCGGCTATTAATTGACCATAACTTTTTTAGTTTTTGGGCAAATGTTAAAATTCTTTTTTCCCCTGAATCCATAGACAACCCCATTTTGTTTAATACCAAATATGTTATACCCGTTCATTAGACTACAGTAAAAATTCGACACAAAGAAAAAGCTCTAATTTTCATGGCTGACAATGGAATTACCCCTAGTGCGACTCTCAGATTTTCTTTAAATTTTAACTGACAAAGATATGGCGAAAAAATGTATTTCTCTCTGACCGCTTTGAGACTTTCAATCCCATGTTTGTTGGTCGAAACTATACATGTTATAATATCATCATTGACGTGTCAAAAAATTTAGTTCTCCTTTACATTTTCATGTTGTTATGTTCTTCGAAATGCACTTTTATGACCATAAATTCGTTGAGTGTGAATAGCGAAGTGGTTTTCTGAAGAGTATAATCCCTCCCTAAACAGTTAATTAGCGGGCTTAAGGTAATTAAGGCGTCTCTTGATTTTTACTGTTTATCCGACGTTCGGCCTAAATGAACTTCCGATCAACGAAACATTTCAATAATCAATTTATTTATATTGTGGTCGGCTGACTGTATTCTCTATGCATGCCTGCTTCTGCGGTAAGGAGTAATATTTCCGTAAAAAATAGCCAAAAAGTTTCTTTTTCTGTAACCGCTCTCCACACCCCGCGTACTCTCTCGGCTTTTTCTTTTAAAATTTTAAACAACTGCTTGTTTTCAGCCGCTCTCAAATTCGGCGTCATCGGCTTGGGTAGTCGACCTTCTCTTTTGCCAGCCTCGCCCTGAGGCACTCATTCAGCGAATGCAATCTTCAATGACTCCGGAATACCTCTCAATGCTCGGCCTCACACAAACGCTGACTGGCTTCGGGAGTTCGCTCGGTGCTCGACTGGTAGGTCGAAAAATAGATGTATGGTTTGGCAAGGAACGTCCTCCAAGTGCGACGCTCAGATTTTGATGAAAGCCGGCGCAAATTTAGAATATTTCTTTTCAAGGCATATAGAAAAGTTCTAGCTTGTGCGTTGCAAAAATTACCAAGATTTTTAGTCGAAAAAGTTGGCGAAAATTTTGTGATTTTTTGAGAAATTTTGGAATAAAAAATTTAGTGTTTGTTTCTGCCATAGTGTGTAACGCTTCCACAGAAAATAAGTCTTTTCCGCTCGAAACTGGCAACAGTAGCAAAGATACGGCTAAAAGGTGTTTTTCTCTCTGACCGCTCTCTGTGTTTCGTGTGCTCTCTCGGCGGCAAAGATCGTTGAATATCTCGGCTGCTTCTGGAAAGCATGAGCTAAACTTTCCAGAAATTGATATGTAGCCTATCCCCGACATATGGGCAAAATTTAAAGCAAATCAGAGCGTTGTACTTGGGACATTTTCTTTGCATTTTTTTTGAATTTTTACATTTTTTTTTCAAATGTAAAATGCATTGGTATTCTTCGGAGAAAAACATTTCCTTTACTATTTTTAAATATTTTATTTTTCGCTTTTATATCCATTTTGTAAAATACGGCCAGTGTAAAAATCAGATTTTTTAACACCAAAACTATATTCTATTTCTTCCCCACTTGTCTATCTTTCAACCTCAAATCTCATTTTAAAAATAGCACATCTCTCGCCTTTGAAGTTTTTCATACATTCCTTACAATTTTCGCTCAATCGAATCCCATTCTATGAATAAAAGCAAAGTACGTTACCCTTGGTCTTTGAGGTCGCCCAAAGTTTCTTCTTTTTTGGGCTTGAACAAACAGAATGGGGCAGAGAATGGACAAATTGGGTGTTCTTGTATCTTGTGCTTTCATTTTAATACATTTTTATCATGAATTTTGGAATCAATTTTTGCGATAGTTGATGATTTTTGGTGGTAAAATAGGCATAGTAGAAGTCTGTTTTTCATATTTTTGAAGATTATATTTTGCCAAATCTGGATCTCATTTGTTGCCAAGTTATGGTAAAAACGCCTACAGAGTTAAAAAAGCGATTTAAAACTTTTAGAAGCTGATATATCGGGTCCTAGAATAGCTTATCACCTATTTGTGAGGTATTTTGCATGTACTCACATCAATAATATCTAGATAAAAGCTACGGATCTTCGTTTTTTGCCGCATATTTTGGTCTTTTATATGTTACAATAACTCAGAGTAACGAAAACTTACATTAGTAGTAGCTAAAGTTAGAAAAAATGGATATATTTCAAGTCTTCGCCGAGTCTCCGCCAAGTCTCCGCCGAGCGTCCGCCGAGCGTCAGCGGCTTTGAAAGGCCTCGTAGACACTTCCAACAAGCTTTTTTTTGCTTGTCCGCCTGCCTACGCCCCGTATCGATCGATTATATCTTGACCCGAACTGTCGTCGACCCAAAAGTCGGGATGCGAAAACTCAAAATACTTTCCTCCGATGACCCTCCACTATTTTCCCGACAGCCTGATACAGAAATTGTCGTCTTATACAAAATTAACATAATCCTAAAAATTCTCGAAACAGTCTTTTTCGTCGTTCCAAACACACTTTAGTTCCATCTAATCCTCATTTTTTATCGAACGCCGGGGATTATGAACCCGACCGTTTTCTCTCTTCTTTCCGTGTTCAGTTAACCTTTGCGTTAATCGATTCGAGCACAAAGCTTTTTGGAGTTTGTTTGGGAATTTACAGTGTTGAAACGGGGAGCGAGTAGACAGTAATTAATTACAGCGTGTCCGAAGAAATGCGAAAAAAATTGATCGGCGATTTCTCAGCAGATTTCTCGGCGCAGAAGCTTTCGATTTTGCACGGTGGGAGCGGAAACGCTATGATTTTATTCTGTAAATTTCAGAGTGTCAGAATGGTGGATAAATTTACAAGAGCTGTTTCAAAATCGCTTATTTTTGTCAAAATTTAGAAAGTTTTGTTTGCACAAATCACAGGTGTGTCACCGGCTTTGTCAAAAAGTTTTAGTAAGGCTGTTCTCAATTTATTTTGAGCTCTGTTAATCTGAAACTTTACAGAATAAAATTTGAGCCTTTCCGTTTTCAGTATGCAAAATCTGGGGCTTTTCGGTCGAGGCGCGGCCGAGAAATCGTGGATTTTTTTACTCCACGTTTCTTTTGGCTTATAACTTTTTTTTGTAGAAGTATTGCGAACAATACGTCCAATTTAGCCTGAAATTTCATCATAATCACAAAAAAAGTTTTTTTTCATTTGTTTTTGACCACTTCTACATCAAAAGTTACGCTAAAACCTCTCCATTGCCCTCAGAAAACTGTATCCTAACTATTCCTCAAACTTTATCAAAATTTAACAACCAAATTTTAACCTGCAACATCCTTCGTATAAAATGTCGCCCTCCAAAATTTGATAAAATCTCTTGTCTGTCTCCCCTCGTGAGCACAGAGTGTTTCATTCGCATTATTTTTTTTCATCCCCAAGGCACGTGTTCATCACGCATTTAACCATAATTATGCCTACCATGTCTGTCTAATGTATTATATTTTTAATTTCCCCTAAAATCCCCGCACTCATTCCGCGTCACAGCGCCCTCATTTACATGCAATTCTGTTGGGCGATACATGATGTGTGCACAAGTACGCTCCGGGTTTTTTTGCGTCTTTTTTTCGCGTCGGGTTCATTGGGTCCGAAAAATTTCTCGCGGGGAACTCAGAGAGCCTTTTTCGTGTAGCTCGCTGAAAGGGCAGAGTAAAGTAGGGAAGAACGGGGTGTTCAGAAGATGTTCTTACTTTTCTTTCCTCGAGCTCTACTTCATTGATTATCGAGCCAGCTGAGAGCCGGAAGAGGATGAGGAAGTAAAAGTGGCTGGAAATACGATTTATCCGGACAAATTAGATTTTTTTGTTATTTTTTTGGAGCCCAACCTCTTCAAACTTGTACTGCATACTCTCTACGGACCATAGATCATACTGGTACGTTCGTAAAGTCGCTGGGGTGAATCTGACGTTTGCACTGTGCAAAAAAAATGCCAGCCAAAAAAAGCCTCTTGCACGGTGCGGAAAGCAAGAAATTGCACTGTGCAAAGAAAACTTTTGCTTCTGCACAGTGCATGCCCTGAAAATCGCTCCATTGCAAACGGACTAGTATGCTGACAGTTTTTCCTTGCGCTAAGCACATACGAGATAATATTTATTTACGATTAGCGATCTTTGAAAACGCACCCCAAAGTGCGAAGGGCGTGTTTAAAAGACGATTGCTCGAGGCATTGCGCTCAGACTTGCTTGAAATTTTGTCTCTATCTTCTGGATTCGTTGTAGAAAGGCTCTGAAAGTTTTTGCCTCATGATTTGAAGAAGCGGCTGAAAGATTGAACGATCTTCAAAAGTGCAGTCTAAGATATACATAGCTCAATTCACAGAGGAATATCGCTTAGCACAACGCGTGGATTCACTTCAAATTTTGCTCACTTGATCTATGTTGCTTTCAAATTACAACCCAAAAATTTTAGCTTCAGCGTTGCAGGGACAACCGAGATATTTGACAATCTCGGAATACCTATGTTGAAACACCCAAGCTTCACATATAAGGAAATATCTCAAAGCGAAACGCTCCAACTCGCTTAAAGTTTTACATACGTCTTCTAGAAAGAAGTAATTCTATTTGCTATAAAACTTAGCCGCCATAATACAGCCATCGCTGAGATATCCAACACTATTTACCCCCGAGTTTATCGAAAATGAAGTGTGACAGTGAGAAGAGCCTCATTCGCTGATAGCTCTATTTTTTCCGGCCGAATAAATTATTTTCGTGTCGTTTGCAGAGCCCGCAGCGGGTGTGTTGTCTTTGTTTTTGCGGGCACTGCGAGTAAATGGATCCCGAGATTCTGCTATTATTTTATTTTGGGTCCAGAGTTTTGGCCTCGGCCTGAATATCGGCTAAATGAAGATTCTTGTGTGCGGAGAGTTTTGTTTTCGTTTTTTCTGGGTCATTGGGAAACCTACAACGGCCGGCATTCAACAAACTGTATTTGAAAAGTTCGTAGATCAAAGCTCACGCAAATATCGGTCTGTCGGGAAAATAATGAGCACTATGTCGCACTCTTTAGCGACGCGATCGGCACAGCGAAATTGTGCTCATTATTATCCGTTCCCCTTTCATTACCGCTCTAATCTAATCTGAATTCATTTTTGCATCCGTATACAACATTTACACCTTTTATTTTATTACATCGTACATTCACTTTGGCCTTTGAGTTCCACGAGCCCACGGAAAATTCAATTACGATTTAAAACAGACTTCTGTTCTTGCATTGTGATCGAACGAACAAATTGTGCTCAATATTTCCCTAATTAAATTTTTCTTAATGTCTTGCATTTAAAAAAAGTGTAACCATTCATATGGGAGGGAAAATTTAATAAGTTTTTTCTTAGGCAGTCATAGCCAGAGATTGCCACGGCAAAAATTTTGGCTCCGGCTCGGAGCCGCTCAGGTCCGGAGCCGAGGCCAAATTTGCGGCTTCGCCTCGGAGCCTTAGCCGCTTAGAGCCGAAGCCAAGAGCTGATTCCGGAGTCAAAATCAGACTCCGGAGTCAAGAGCCAACTCAGGAGCCAAGATTCGACTATGGAGCCAAGAGCCGTCTCCAAAGTCTATATCGGACTTCGGAGCCGGGGCAGTGCAAAAAGCCGGAGCCAAGAGCCGACTCCGGAGCCGGAGCCGCTCAGAGCTGAAACCGGAGCCAAGAGTCGAATTCGGAGCCAAAGGCTAACTTCGGAGCCAATAGCCGACTCCAGAGTCAAGAACCGGCTCTGGGGCCAAGAGCAAACTCTGAAGCCAAGAGTCGACTCCGGAGCCGAGAACCGACTTTGGAGTCAAGAACCGACTTCGAAGCCAAGAATTGACTCCGGAGCCAAGAACCGACTTCGAAGCTAAGAATTGACTCCGGAGCCAAGAACCGACTTCGAAGCCAAGAATCGACTCCGGAGCCAAGACCCGACTCCGGAGCCAGGAACCGACTCCAGAATTCCGGAGCTCCTGTTATGATCTCTGGTCATAACATACATTTGTTTCACACAGGCGTTGCATGTGTCGTCATATGCACTTTTCGTTCAGGAATTTGTTATCAGAAGGACCAAAAAGTCTTGACATGTTTTCGCACTGCGCATGGTCGGAATGCACCTTGAACTTTACTTGTCGACGTGCGACAAGTTTTTTTCGCAAAAGGGCACACAGTGCAAACATGTCACCTTTTGGGCTTTTTTTATTTTTCAATTTTTTTGATGAAATGTGGACCATACTTTCCAATTCGAGATCTTTGGTGATATCAGTGTGTCGGAGAAATAACGAGCACAATGTCGCTGAAATGAAAAAAACAATTTGATCTTGCCGCGACGTAACTCAATTTCTCGGCGGCGATGCAATATCCGCTACGCCAGAGTGCTCATTATTTTCCCGACAGATTGATACCATCAGGGGCCGAGCCGGGTTTCGGAAATTTCGGAAAAGGCCGGGCCGAGCTTTTCTTGGGGCCGGGACAAGGGATAGGCCGGGGGCGGAGATGGCAAAAGCCCCTTGTTGCCATGTCTGGATATTACAGACAGACAGCCGTTTCTAGCTGTTTCCGAAGCAAATGGCGCAGGTATATGTATACTACGGAGTAAGGCAAAAAAGCCTTGATATTATTTTTTGTAGATACTACCTCTGCGCCGTGCATATATGCCGCATCTCCGCAAACTTTGAAGAGCCAAAGAAAGCCTGAACTCTTTTTCAAAACAAATATCAGTCTGTCGGGAAAATAATGGCGGATCGTCGCGCCTCGGAATCGCCCATCATCGCTTTGCGACTGCAAGCCGTGGTTTTGGATTTGGTGCGCGATAGCGGCGAGGCGAGACATTTTGCTGCGACGACCCGCCGTTATTTTCCCGACAGACTGATAAGCAAGTTTTTCCACGTGAACATGACAGACAATGTATGCATGGTCAAAAAAGGGTTTTTTTGCCCACACTTTTGTCGACGAAGATCTCTGAATATTTCGGACGTGCCGTCAATACGCGAGCTGACATTTCCAGGCGTTTGTGTGGGCTAGATCCTTCATTTTTATGGGCCAGATCCTTTCATACTCGAGCGGGTATGGAAGGACCTGGAGTCGGGCCACCAAGGGGTCATCGCCCGGCCCTAAATCGGCCCCAATGATTACAGTGGGGGGCCTGATCCAGAGGCAAAAAACGTACCATTTTGCATCCGGGAAGTATCAAAAATGTGGCGAAATGCTTCCCTCTCCAAGTGATGCGGCGAAATGCTTCCCTCTCCAAGTGTTCGTTTTGTAGGGCGCGCCTTTTCCTTCACAAAAAAGAGCGGGCGTGCTTTTGAAATCAATTTTTTTTTCACTTGAAGGAGGAGGTATTTTGCAACATTTTTTGCTACCTCCTGGATGCAAAATGGTACGTTTTTTGCCACTGAATCAGGCCCCCTACTGTAGAATTCTGTGTCTCGAAGCGAAAATTTCCTGGCCGGGCCAAGAAAATTTGGAATGTGACAGGACCGGGCCAAACTCTTTGAGGCGGGGGCTGGACTGAGATTTTCGGCCCGGCCTCAGAGCCATGTCTAATGTGGGCCTGTAATGGGTGCAAAACTTCGATGTCTTTTTATTTCACGGACCCATCTTTACAATCAACGCCCTGTCTTCTCTAACACATCAAAACCTGTGGTTTTGCCATTATTGTACTATAATATCTCTCCTGCATCCATCTAATTACACGTTTGACCGTATTGTTTTACACTTTCCAACCGTCGTCCAAGACGACTATATACGTATTCATAAACACCGCACTTTGGCGCTATACTTACAATTATACGCCTTTAAAACGCTAAGACTCCCATGCCAACCGAGAAGCGGACCCGTTGGACCCGGTGTGGCTGTGTTATCAGCACGCATGTTGTGCATACAAACACAGACCAGAATACGATTCGCAATTCGTAACGCGGGTTTCGCCGGGGGGCTTTAATGAGAAGCCGTTGCTAATTACCTTCTCTGAAAGTGTAAAATTTAATTTTTTACGATTTTTGAAGACAATAGAGGGTAGAAAAAGTGGCGCAGCTGTTTTTTCAAAATTTGGCAAAAGTTTAAACATTTTTTTAGGTATATATCTATCTGTAGGGAAAATAATGTGGGTTTATCATGCTTTGGAATTGCTCGTCATCGCTTTGCGACGCCTCGCCGCGGCTGGAAATTCGGTGCGTGGCTGCAATGAGGCGGGACTTTTTTGTTGCAAAAAATCCACATTTTTTCCCGACACGATGACACATAAATATCTATGAAATATCTTGCCTTTCAAGTTGTAACAGACCCCTCCCTTATGGGATCGGGGCTGACCGATGGATTGACCTAGCCTTCTAATCGAGGTATCTCACCACCGCCTTCCACGTGCCGAGTGGCGTCTCCCTTTACTAGACAATATTCAAATAACCATACCGGCTAAAAATTATATTTATTTTTACAAACACAACCGGCCGTCTTCACAGCCTTTCCCTCTCTCCTCCATCTTCGATCGAGGCGCTTACATGCGCGGTAACTCCGCCTCCGACTGACGTCATCAGCGTCGCTGGCTCGGACAAAGTGAATAACACTGTAACTGGGCTACTAGCGTACATTCTTAATAACAGGGTCGATGCGACCGTTATCACGAGTATTACTTTTCGGATTATCTCTTCAAAAAATTTCAAAATTTTGCGTACGGCTCCTAACTAGGCTACCCGTCAAACTTTAGAAATTCTTAGCTGTTTACAGCGTCAGCCAAGTTTTTCTCTCGGCTGTTTCTCCAAAGCACGAGCTAAGACTTTCAGAAATTTATGTATGGCCCATGCCTGAAGTACTAGTCCGTTCGTAAAGTCGCTGGAATGTTTTCGGCGACATGCACTCCGCGAAACCGAAAGTTCACTTTGCACTGTGCAATTTTTGGCTTTTTGCGCAGTGCAATAGGCTTTTTCGAGCTGTCGCTCGCACCCTGAGTTTTCTTGCACAGTGCACGTCACCGAAATCATTCCAGCGACTTTACGAACGGACTAGTATGTGTAAAATTCAAAAAAAAAAAAAAAAAATCTAAGCGTCACACTTGAGGCATTTTCCTTATCCGCCTAATGTATAGCAACGGGAGTAGATTTACTTTTTTTCTTTCTCTTTCACATCTTTCACTCATCAAGACCGATTTTTTGTCAACTTTTTTATCTTGATTCTTCGAATAATGCCGTCTTTTTTCTCCATCCTCAAAGAGCGTAAAGTTGCCACTTGGAAACTATCACCATGTCACTTCTCACACACTCTTTTATTCTTTTTCGAAAAGGCGAACAGCACAGTCCGTTCGTACATCGTTCGGTTCGAAACATTTTTTTGGCTCTGCTTGCCAAAGGCTAGATTTTTCTTTTTGTTTTTTGCCAACTTCCCGGTCTCAGAGCACCCAACCAACTGTTTTTTGTCCTCGAAAAGTAGTTAGGCTCTAAACGAATTTGAGAAAAATTGACTTCCACAGCTTTTGTGGGCACGGAACTTTGGTCCAATTGGACTTTGAGGAAGCGGTTTTTGAGTAGGGAACCGGATGAGATTAGCCGCGGCGGTGATAACAATTTGTTTTTTGTGAGCGAGCTTGGGGAGCTGGGGGGTTGAATTTGGCGAGGAAGTGATCCGAATGGAACAGTAGGATTTTAATGAAGTCTGTTTGGAAAGTCGCTGAAATGGTTTTCGCGACAAACATAGTGCAAGATATGTGCGGTGCAAGGGGTAATAAATTGCAAAGTGCAAGGTGAAATTTTGTTTTTTTTCAGTGCATGTCGCCTATATAAATCACTCCAGCGACTTTTTCGGAAGGGCTAGTCATGGAAAACGTTATTTGGAGAAATGAGCTAGTACAGTGGAGGACCTGATTCAATGGTAAAAAACGTACCATTTTGCATCCGGGAAGCATCAAAAATGTGGCAAAATGCTTCCTTCTCCAAGTGAGAAAACTTCGTTTTGAAGGGCCCCTCATAAAAAGAGCGGGCGCGTTTTTGTAATCGGACTTTTTTCACTTGGAGAGGGATGCATTTTGCCACATTTTTTGATGCCTCCTGGATGCAAAATGGAACATTTTTTGTCACTGATCAGGTCCCCACTGTAGATTAGAGAGTTACGTAGCTAATACGACGACCAAAGAAGCTTGTTTTTCCCTCAAATCGCCCTTTTTCTCTCACTGATGACGTTCCGTTCTCATTAGCGCAAAAAAAGCCAATTGCACGGTGCAAGCAGCCCGGAATTGCACAGTGCAAACTGAACTTTGGTTTTCTCACTGTGCATGTCGCAGAAATATATTTCAATGTTTTATAATCCCATCGACTTTCCTGGACGGGCTAGTACCACTTGAATTTTCATAAAGTGCGTAGACTTTGTAGACTTTTCGTCGTGTGCCGCATTGGGTAAAAAAAATATCAATAGTGCATTTTGTCGCGCAAAATTTGAGGGCTGGACCAGTAAATTATCAGTCTGTCGGGAAAATAATGTGGATTTTTCGTGGATAAATCTCAAGCCCGCTGTAGTTGCGCTCCAAATCCCCAGCCGCCGCTAGCCCTCGCGAAGCGATAATGGGCGATTCCAAGGCGCGACAAATCCACATTATTTTCCCGACAGACTGATAGAGTGTTTCGTGCTAACCCGAGAAGTCTGTTTTTCTCTCAAATTGTCGCTAACGGCATTCTGTTCACATCAGCTCAATATGTACGTATAATATATACTATTCCGCCTTACTTCCTTTTTTTTTGCAAAAAACTGATTTGTAAGGAGCAAAATACAATTTGTCGATCACGTCGAAACACTATATCTATTGACCAGAAATGTGCAAACAATACGTCCACGAATGCAATGTGCCCTTTCCCCCAACTCTGATCGTTGTAAAACGACCGAATGAGTCTATTGAATTGAGGGTACCGTATGCGTCCGATCGCCCCTCTCCCTTCGTTATTTGAATTCCTCGCCACTGAACTTTTGCACTCAAAAGTTTTTTAGCGTAAAAAATTTGAGGGATTTACGGCGTCGGAGACGAGGAACCATTTTTTGGCGGTCTAATTTCGAAGGGATGTGGGCGCTAGACGGGGATTTTGATGATGAAAGTGTTGCAGTGCGAAGACAGTAATGTGGCGGGGAGTTGGGAAGAAGCCGCAAATTAACTGCTGAAAACTCTAGCAGCGCTTAAGGGCGTCTGGTCAATCGTTTTTTTCAGAATTAAAAACGATTTTTGACCATAAAGAGCTTGTAGAAAGGTCCTGTAAAAGATTAGTTGGCTCAGCCCGATGAAAGTCAGACACGGGCTGGGATATCTTGCAATGAAACTTCTTAATAAAAAGTATCTTAGAAGCCCCAAAAGTCTCAAAAATCTGAAGAAATGAATGCTAGATTAAGCCGGCTATAGTTTTATGACGATTCGGCACATTTTCACTTTTTTTTACTTTTATGGACTGCTAGCCTTTCCGGAAAGTCGCTGGAATGATAGCAGCAACACGCAACTTGAAAAAAGAAACAAAATTTAGTTTTCTTTGCAATTTGCAATTTTTTGCTGTTTGCACCGTGCAATAGGATTTTTTTTGGCTTTCGCTTGCACTTTCACTTTTCGCACTGTGCAAACGCCAAAATCACTCCAGCGACTTCACGAACGGACTAGTATGATCTACGGTCTATATAAAGCATTCAATAAAAGTTTGAAAGGCTTGGCCGCAAAAAACGCCCCTTGGGAAGCACTACAATCCCTTTTTTCAGCTACTAAACTTGATTTGTTGAGAAGGGCTGACATTTTTTATACTTTTTTTTGAACTTGCTTTGTTACAATGCCTGAAATTTTGAACCCAAATAACCCAAAAAAATCTTTTTTTTATATATTTTTCGGCCAGACTGGCCGGTCATTAGTCTCGTTCGATCGGCTCTTTTCGGAGCCGACCAAAATGAAAATTACTTCCTCGTTTCTCTTTCTTTCGCTTAGCCTCGTGCCAGTGTTGCACTCTTAACTTTTTTTGCTCTTTCAGGGGCGATAAATGTGTTTCCTTATCTCATTTTTTTTATCATTGATGCGATTCGAAACTTTTGATCAAAAGCACTGAAAGCTTTTATCATCCGTTTTCTTCTTTCCCGGAGAGGGGTTGACAAAGACATTTTTGGGGGGATTCAACATTGAATTTCTCTATTATTACATACATATTATATAGAATTTTCAATCTTTTTATTAAAATTGTAAACTTAACATACTTTTTTTTCAATCTGACGTCATTACAGTTCCGAAAACTTTATCTCGCTACGATTTTTGTGAAAAAAATTGATTTTGTCGTGACACAACTCATTTTCTCGGCGACGATGCGATTTTCAGTGCGATAGAGTGTTCATTATTTTCCCGACAAACTGATATAAGTCTGTCGGGAAAATAATGTGGGAAATTTGAAAGTCCGAAATCACTCGCCCTGGTCGCTGCTGGTCGTCGCAAAACGATGATCGGCGATTTCAAAGGGGCCACAATTCCACATTATTTTCCCGACAAACTGATAATATTTAAAAAAATCGTCTGTCGGAAAAATTATGTGGACTAGACGGAGAAAAATTTGCCGCTTTGTCGCAGTTGCGGACCAAATCTCCAGCTTCGATTAGTCGTCGCAAAACAATGATCGGCGATTCCAAAGCGCGATAAATCCACATTATTTTCCCGACAAACTGATAATCATGAGGAAATTCGCAGTTTAAAACGGTTATTTTTGGATTTGGAAAAAAACAACAATCTTTTTTTAGCTCTAATTTGAATACCCAGACTATTGTAATCTATGTATTTCGACCACATTTCTTCCCTGTACTCTTGTTGAATAAATTACAGGATTGTGTTGTCGTCCACGTTTTTGGTAAACAGTATCACCCGCCGCTCTTGGGAGTCGGATTTTTGGACCGGCTTAGTTTTGTAGTTCACTCCGACGGCGTCCGAAAGTTATTGTGTTTTTGGGTCGAGAGTTGGGGGAAATTTTAGAGTTTTTAATATTTTTTTGGGCTAACAGGGGAAGTACTCCAAGTGCTCAGATTTTGATGAAACTTGGCACAAATTTAGAATAATTTTTTATAAGATATATGCGCGAATCCTAGCTCGCGCTTGGCAGAAACAACCGAGATTTGTAGATCGAAAGCCGGCGAAAATTTTGGACTTTTTGCCGAATTTCGGCACGAAAAGTGTCATGCCTATTTCAACCGTAAAGGATAATGTTTCTACAAAAAATCAAATTTTTCCGCACGAAACTGCCAAAGTTATGGCCAATAAGCGCTTTTCTCTATGTACCGCTCTCCAGGTTGAGCGTGCTCTCTCGGCGGCAAAAATCGTTCGATATCTCGGCGGCGCCCGCGAAGTGCGAGCTAAAACTTTCACGAATTGATATTTAGTCGCACTTGGAGTACTTCCCCTATAAGTTTTGCTTTTAGGATTTTAGAAGAAGTTTTCTAAGTGTGCTCCAAATTTGTTGAAGCTTGTCCCAGATTCTCCTATAGATACGTTAATTTTTTCAAAACATATGTGAGACTTGACATTAATTTCATGTACAAGGTCAGAGATGGCTCGTTAAGGCGGTACGTGATGAAAGTGCAAAGGAAATGAATGCAATAGACTTTT